GTCACTGAGCGGCATTCTCCCTCAAAGTTGGAAATTGTGTGCTTCATGGCGTGGACGCAGATAATTAGTGCCAGCAAATTATTAGGTATTGTCCTTGGGCGACAACCGACACCAGATCAACTCTCCTTGCATTGCCGCTCACCTGCTTTGTCGTGCTTACCTCCCGTCCAGATGAAGTAGATCACGAGCTTCGGGCTAATGTCGGCACCAGGGACAAAGACCGCCGAAGATAATCCTCAATCTTCCCCGGACGCTCGTCAAGACGTGGTCGAGGGTCGTTCGGCACGAACCCTTGCAAGCCAATTCATTGGTACGGGCACCTCCAGTAGACAAGGTCGGCCTCATGCAGTGGTAGCAGAGTGGTTTTCGGTGGACCATTCGAAGCACCTCCGTCTTCCTCGGTGTACTTTGTTCAGCGCGGACCTACACTGGTTCTTCTCGATATCGGGAATGCTTCGGCATTGGGGTATTTCATTGAATTGGCATTGAATAATAACAGGTAGCCGGTGGTGGTCGTTGTGACTTTGTGGCATAAGTCGCCCTCGTTTCGTCAAATGCTGCTTCGCTCGAAGAAGTCTCTAGTTGAAATGCCTGTCAAACTTCTGAAAAAATCTAGGCGATCAAAATTAAAGCCGGGCAACTGATGGCAGGAACTAGCTTCCTTATCTCCTCCCGGACACCGTTTTGAATGATGTCACGGATGCCTGGGGGGCTGGCGTCGAAGTTGCAACTTGACGACTTGAGTGTCGCAACGCTGGGGAGTTTTTAATAGTGACGTGCTCGGGCCTGCAGTGTGCATTCAATGTTGGAAGCTGCATTGATATGAACCCTTCGACTGTTGTCGTGGGGTTGCGGACAAGGCTTCTGAAGGTGTCCCTCAAATGAGGACCATGGGATTCTTAGCTTCTTGTCTTCTGTAGCATCAGGGTTGGCGTGGGTGCTCGATCAGAAGCAAAACGTCCTCCACGAAGGTGGTGACGCTCTCGTTGAGGCCGTGTCCTGGGCAGAATCAGGAATTCGGCTCTCTCTTGTCAATGTTGGCTGATGAACATGCACTTCAGCTCGGTCTTGCAAACTTCCCACGATGTTAAGGAGGATTCGCGGTTCTCAAACCAGTGCCTCACAGTTTCTTCCACGAGAAGTATAGGTTCTGCAGGAGCTGGTTGTCCATCTACCGACTGTGGCGGGCGACACGGTCATATTGTTCAATCCAGCCCTCGACGTCTTGTGCACCTTGCGTGAAAGGGCATCGGAGTGCGAGGTGCGACGGGCATGCAAACGATGGTGGGAGCAAGCGTGGTTAGCTGCGACAGGGTTGTCATTGTTGGCTTAGTCAGCTTTGGTTTTTCTGGCAAAAGACCTAATTCCGTTGGTTCTTGCTGGTAGCAGCGCCTGGCTTGGATTTCAAGTTCTTCGTGGTGTATTTCCGAGTTTCGCCCTTGTGGTACTCGCTCGTATTGCAATTTTGCTGCCGGGCTCGGGATAGGACTTGGTTCACGGCTCGCCGGGGGTTTAAGACTCGGGATAATGTGCCACCCGTGTCTTGTTATCGGGCAACTCGGGTGAGGAGCCGCCAGAGTAGACACAGAGTGAAGGGCTATAGGTAAAGTGTGCAGCACCTCCACCAGAACATACGATGACAGCTGAGCATGGCCTAAAACTTTCCAGAATAGTAAATATTGATAGAAAATAGGACTGGAGCAAGCATCCGAGACAATATAACAAAACAGACAGAAAAGAGTCTATCCTGACCACTAAAGAAGCTGCACTGCTTTAGTGGCATTCTGTCTGAATAAATCCTCTCCTTCGGGGTCTGGCGACTGCCGTGGACGAGCTGAACTGAAATCGATGTGAGACCACTTTTCTGGTAATGAGCCGCTGCAGACTGCCGTCGCAAAGCGGCGTGAATGGGTGGACTGGGTAGGTAACGCGCGCGATGAAATGTCCACACAGCTTGCAATTCGCGTAACGAGTGTTGAAACTTTGGTGTCGACGAAACGTGCGACAGACCAGCGGACTCAATACCAACTGCAACACCTGTGCTCAGTGAAGGTGCACGTCTACGCCAGAACATTTTAGTAGGCAGCACAGCATCACCTAAAGCACGGCACAGGAACTACCAGCTTGAAGGCAGCTCTTAGGCGCGCCGCACACCTGTGCTCCGTAAAAGGGCACGTCTACGCCGAAACAATTTGGGAAGCAGAACAGTATCACTTAGCACGACACGGGAACTAAAAGCGGCAAGGCAGCTCTCCGGTGCACCGCACAACCAAAGTGAGCCTTGGGGCATTTGAACGAAGCGACACCACGATTGCACACTGCCAAGCACGAGTCGCGCAATTTCCGTCGCTAAACTGTGTATCCAAATATATTGCACACGCTTTACTGCAGATCTCGAAGGTTCCGACGGTCAACGAGAGCACAGAAACGTCGCCTTAAATTTTATCCTAGCGGTATTCGAATCAATCCGAGGTGCGAGCAACGTAGGGCAGATTGTCTCTTCCGTGGCAATATCGCCGTCGGTCACCAGCGAAATGCACACCGTTCCTCCGTATTTTCACCTTGTACCTACGTCAGACACCACGCTGAACTCTGAAGTCGCTGTCGACCGGCCTCATATGACGGCTTCTGCGCCTGAAATCAACTCGCCGAGACGAACGACAACCAACAAAGCATCCGACAAGCTCCGGCATTCCGGCACAGCTGGGGCCAGCCGCTTCATGGGCGCTGCCATCTTTCCTCTGACGTCACGCATTTGGTTTGGTCATGTGACGAGTGGTCAAATTTGCGTACAATGGCAGCCGCCTTATGGGGGTCACTTTCGAGTGCAGACCGGAACCCCGGTTTATCGCTCTAAGCCCCTCTACCTCGTTGATTCACTCACACAAGCGAGTTTTTCTCCTCAGAATGGACTAAACGTCAGTGAGCTTTGAGGTCACGCGTACCGCGTCATGCAGGAGACACAAGTCTCGCAATGCGAGAACGCATATCACACTCTTATGATCTGCATTTTATCATCGAAAGCTTAAGCTTACTGCACACTAGTACATTTAGCTCAACCCTACGCGTCACAAGTGCTTTAAATCTTTGGAACATTCACTTATTGAGGGGTTTCTGATGTCGGTCAGCATGTTTCTAATTGAAACCATATGTTTATTTTTGGCAATTAAAACATTAGCTAATACATTTTAGATAACAATCCCTGATGCCTGTCGTGCCTGGCAATTTTTTCTCAAGAAAGGTTACTTTTTCCTCAGCGACACTCTTTGGTAGATATCTCCGAGTCTTCTGAAACATTGGCTATATTCTTTAAAAAAATTGCATTATTCAGAATATATTGCTTCGTTCGCGACTGAATAATCTTTTAAAGGCCGACGTACAACCTCGGTTTTCTGCAGGGAAGATACTTCTCTTAGCGCTTCCCTCTCCTAAGCTGCGAGGGGAGCCAAGTTGGACCAAGGTAAAAAGTGGAGAGGATATAAGAAAGGAGCAGGCGGGAAAAAGTGGAAAGCGCGAAGTGTACGTCGGCCTTTAACTAATGTTCCTGCCACACTGCGAAATTTAATGTAATTTCTCCTCGAATGACTTTAAGTGTTCGGCAATCAGCTCGTGAGTCTGACTTCGATCGTCGCGCGTGCACCACGATGCACCAAAAGTGGCGTGCGCTGATTGGTAGATTGGAAAACATTATTTGATGAAAATATATTATCAAGACGATGACATCATTTTTCAACTTGTTCCTCCTTAGCTTTCCTTCTCAACTCAAAACCAAAATGAGAAATCACGTGGTCGCGACGTGTTTTGGCACCAGATGCGGTGACCCCAAGCCTCAACCGTGCATTCAGGCACACCGTGGTGCTTGTCGTTCGCAAGTGATGAAAAGTGCCGCCACTGCACTCATTGGCCACGAACGTGAATGCAACTATTTGTCGACGGATTGATTGTTGAGAAGTGCCTGCGTCCGAGTGACGTAGTGCTCAAGTCCAGTGCGTATGCTGTGTTCGGCTAACGTGCTCGGCTACAGCGGATATATCGCAGTTAAAGGGCATAGAGCTTTCGAATAAAAGGAGTTAAGAAATTGTGCGCTCTATTCTGAGACATTCGTACCTAAATGTAGGTTTCTATCTTTCTACTTTCGCTTACTACTTTTCTTGTGGCCCATTAAACGATATATGTATAGTAAAATCGTTAATTCAAGCCTCTAAAGTATTTCATAGTTCCTGTAAATTTTACCATTATGATTTTGTCATGAGTGTATTGGCCGGTAGCCTCGAAGCATTTGTTGTGTGAAATAGTTGTTTCCTGGTGAAAATGCCCGCGGTATTTCATTTCAACTAGAATGTACTCATTATTTGAGTTTTCATATATTCGCACTATCCATTTTATGTATTAAATTTGGTTTTGCATACATTTCACTGTAATATGGTTTATTTCAAACACAGTCTACATAGAAACGACTTGGTTTTGCCATATCCCGTCCCGTTAAAAGTTTGAATATAATGTTAATACGCAGGTTTTTTTTTCAAATTATGAGATTTACCTTGCATTATTTGATAAGATTTTCGTAACTACGTCATTTTATCCTAACATGTGCACACAGCCTTGATTACGTGACGTATAAAGTAGGCGCTTGTGCGAACAAAGCATTACGCGAGGTTTGTTTTATTGCTTGATTCTATCATTTCTTTCATAGGAAGTTCAAATATAGCCGACGCTACGAGCTGATTGGACGAATCAAAGAGCATCACAAGCTCAGCATCGGGGTGTTCGTAAGGTGCACGGACGTGTTCTCTAATTGCTAATCCAGTCATGCGCAAGGAAGGCCCAGTGACTTGCGGTTTTGAGGCTTTTCGATTGTTTGACATTAACTCGCAGCTTCGGCTGTTTCTGTATTTGGAGTGAAACGGAGTACATCTGGCATGCACGAAGGTAATGTCGTGCATGCCAGAATGTGACCAGAGATGGCGGTAATGAATGCGTGGCACAACTTCCTTCCACAGGAGCCGCTGGATCACCGAGTCCGGTCTCCCTCAGCGGTGGAAGCACCTGATGATGGAACAGAGCCGGCACAACTCCAGCGGCGTGATTGGGTCTCCGCTGCAGTCCCTGTCTAGCGTCGCGCCGCTCAGGCTTCAAGACGTGGCAGCTCTCATGCAAATACTTCTAGCGGGTTCTTGTATAGCCCTGGCGGCTTTCCTCGTCGAAGTGGCCAGGCACCGCGCTCAGAGCCGCGCCCCAGTCACATCTCCGACTTGAAGCGTGGAGCACACGTGAGGGAAAACCGTGACACGCACGCGCCGTCGCTGACGCTATCACGCGGTCGAATGCCGCGCAGCCACGCCATAGCACCAGTGACGGTCGCTATGATTACGCCGCTTAGAGGCCTGACGTCACGAGTTTTTCACTCGCATGTTTTCCGCGCATAGATGGATATCACAATAGAAAATGCATCTCCTATGGTAACCCTTTTGTCCATTCTCAGCAACTACTGAACCAATTGGAGTCGGGATGGTTGTATTCAAAAGATAGTAATAAAAACATTTAAAAAACTTTAGAATTAACAGATTCATTGAATTAAAACGAAAGAAACACACAAGAGGACGAAACAGACGACACAGCTTTCGACTTGCAACTAGGTTGCAAGTCGAAAGCTGTGTTGTTGCAAGTCGAAAGCTTTGTCGTCTGTTTCGTCCTCTTGTGTGTTTCTTTCGTTTTAATTCAATGTACATTACCAACACGCTCAAGTCTATAATTAACAGATTCACATTACAGATTATCGATCCCTCCTGAAAAAAGGAGAACAGTGATGTCTGGTTAATACGGATACTCCTAATATGGATAGCCCGCTTTATAGACATGATTTTAATAGACAATTTGCGTAAATTTGTGCATTTTTTGTCTCGTTATTATGAACAACTGATATTCTGGTTGATTTTTAGGGGGATCTGAGGTGTCCATATTAGCGAGAAATTGCTGTATTGGTTTCTTTACTCTGTGTCCGCGTTAGCTGTTTCTTAAGTAGCCGTTCTTTATAGCTCTTTCTATACAGGCCTGTCACTTCCGTGCCTATTGCTTAAAGGGGTAGGGAAAACAATTCTGCTTTTATATCTTTGTTTAGATATGGTCTACATTGTGGAGGTCGCCCAAAAGCAAATGTCTAGACTATTGGGCCTGGGTTGCTGGCAGAAAAGTCAAGAAAACTAATTTTAAAACAAATGGACGTAATTCAAGATTGCACCTGGTGGCGTTCTGCGAAGCTCATTGGAATGTTGCCCCGTCATTGGCCATTAAGAAGCTGCGCCAGTTTGCGGCAGTGTAGCTATCCCATGGAGTTACTTACACCTGAATGTGGCTTGGCGGAGAACGCCAACGAGTCTAGCACTCTGCATTTGTTAATTTCCACAATGCTTCTGCAGGGTGCATTCTACACCCTCAAGATCACCGTTCTTTGCAGACCTTAGATAGGAGCTTGATCTAAGGATGCGAGGACCTATGCCTGGCCAACCATTGCCCCCCCCCCCCCCCCCCCCCCCGGGGGATGCGTTGGGGACAACGCACTCCTGTTATGGCACCCAGTGAATACCTTGTATGTAACGGGTGGTTTCAGATACGATCGGCCCAAAGGTGGTTGGTCGACATTTTTAAATCAATATGTGTGAAGGAAAGCAGTAAAACAGCCGAAGACTCTTATATGACTCGGTCAAACTGCTCTCGCGACTAGGCCAGTCATGCGTTTTGCGTACCGCAGTACCTACTTTGCGTCAAATGATGGGCATGCAGCTGATCAGAGAGGTTGCCATCATGCTGGAGCTGGTAGTTTCGGTTTCTCCGTAGACTCACAAGGTAACTCCTTGAGATATCTCAAAAACTGCACAAGCCGTCGAAAAACAAATGAGACCTCGTAATCCAGGGACACCTCCTTAATTTAAAAAATAAGAAGAAGAAAGAACGACGACGACGAGTTCGGATGAGGCTGTTTTTCCTAAACTTTTAGAATTTTCCTAGAATTCGCACTGTTATAATAGTTTTGCATACTCCTTATCTTAACATTCGATGCCATTTGAGTGCTACATGCCTTTACCTCTTGCCAGCACCAGACGTTGGTGCTGGTATCAGAATGCACTAAGAACACGACCGGCTACTTCACGCTAGACATGGATATCTCTATCCAACCCAACCCGTTTCAAGTATGTAATAAGAACTCTCTGAAGATGCCGCTGACCAGGAACTCACAAGTGGTCAAGGAAATCCATCCACAAGCTAGGCGCTTGAAACTATATCAACGGAGCAAGGCATGTCAAGCAATCTAATAATCACTCAGTCAGAATGCATGCAACTGAAATGAGACGTCAAAGAGGGTACTGTTATTTCGAACTTTAAGTCATATAACACAGTGGGACCTCGAAAACGTCCTCGACCATGGACAAATTCTTAAAGCAACAATGCCATCATCACACCCACATCAGACCTCACCTGCATCGGACATACTTCAATCTTCACACCACAAAACCTCAAAATGCAGATCGGAAACTTGAACAGCCTCAGCGTGACAGATTTCTTCAATAACAGTGCACCTTCTTGCGTCCTCAAAATCAAGATAAACAAGAAGCTGAATGTCATCGCAGTGGACACACGCAATTTGTACACCAAGGCGACTCTACTAAAATTGACCAAGATTTTTAGAATTCCTGTCTACACTTACGAGCCATGAAACAAAAAAACCTCAGTAGGGGTTATTCGCGACATTGACCTATTTTTCACAATGCCGGAACTTCGCAAGAAGCTCAAATGCAACGCGACAGTAGGATCAATACGGCCTTTGGGAGCGTCACGTTCTGTACGTATAACCTTTGGCTTTCCTACTTTGCGAAGTCATGTGCTTGTTGCGTATGTTAGGTCTAGGGTTGACTCTTTTACACATAGGCAGGCACAATGCACCAAATGCGGACTTTTAGGTCATGTCCTCGCTGCTTGAAAGCGCTCAGAGGCTTTTAAGCAATGTTCAAATGATCACTTGTTAGAAGCTTGTGACGCAAGTACCGCTCACTGCAGCAACAGCGATTGATAACACGAGACTTTCTTTCCTCAGTGCCCGAAACAAAAGCCTTAGGATGCTTATGCAATGCGCTTACACTCAGCTAATGTAGAAGTCACATCTGGAAGTCATGCTCAACCGGCACCCCAGAAAGTCGCACACAAGACGATACAAGAGCGCAAAAAACTAGAGCAATGCTCGAAAGATTGCTACCGCAAAAAAAGAAAAAGAAAAAAAAAACGCTCGGGCATGTTACAGCTACGCAAGATAAAAATCGCGAAGAGGAGAAATCTGTGAGGTCTCTCTTAGATTTCCCCTCTCTTAGTGTTGCATCCCAAGGTAACTCCAAGCCATCAATTCAAGCACTTAATGTGATTGATTCCTTCGAATAAAAAATATTAATTATGCTGAAGTTTTGAAGACAGTCTACAGTCCGATCTTAGTAAGGAGTTAGGAGTCTGCCCCTACCCAGCACAAAACAATCAATGGAAACCAAGGACAGAAAGAAACTTCTAAGCCGAATGAACCTGATCCGTCTGACTAGAAAATAACCCTTAAAACAGTAATCACCACAGCCATCAACTTTCTCAGTCAGTTCCCCTCGCCATTAATACAGGGCTTCATCTAAATTCTTGACATTCTCATTCCCATAATCCCATAATTCTAGATTTCTTTTAAGCAACAACACTGTCTTTTTAGCAATGAAAAGCACGAGGCCTTCAATCGAAAGCGTCTGATCTCGGCCACGATCTCAGAAATAATCATTTTCCTGTTATAACGATATCCGAACATGGAGCTCGGGACAGCTTTAGAATATCGGGATAAGAAGTTTTTACTCGAGAAAACATTCAAGGAACAGCAGAACAATATTAGCGATCAAAAATGATTTAATTTACGTTGAACAAGACACTGGTTTAGATAATGACAATTAATATGTATCTTCAACCGTTAAAGTTGGTACCAACTCAATAACGTTCATACATACCTCCCAACGTTACATTAGATGTTCAGTGGTAAGAAAATATGCTACTAGTGGTGCCGAAACCATGCGTTCTATTAGGAAATTTCAATGCTCATCAGCAGCTTTGGAGTAATTTTAGAAGCACTCATAGAGGGCATGAACTTTCTGACGCTACCATTAACGCCGATCTTGTAAACATTTATGGCGGCACACCTACGTTTCTCAGAGGAACAAGTGTAAGCAGTTGCTTGGACTTGGCATTTATGTGAAAGGAGCGAATAGACAAATACACTCTGCAGCCAGCTCTAGATAACTGGGCAAGTGATCATTTGCCCATTTCAATATCTATGAATGGCTTCGAAGCACCTAAACCACGGCGTAAGAAAAGTAAAACAAATTGGGAAGCATTTCGATTTGTTACCAAAAATGACATAACAACTGCAATAGCGAATGGAGACATTGCTTCGCCAAAAAAAACAGTGACTGATGCAGAATAGGAAAGGTACATGCTATAAAAAGAGCGGAGCAAAGACTAAGGCGAACACACAAAACTGTCGACCTCCGTGAAGCACATAGGACGCAGTGTCGTATAAGGCGTCCCTTAAACTTGTTGACTAAACGTAGGTGGATCAGATGTTGCGAGACATTGAATCCTCGCAGTCCCATATTGGGACTGCGAGGATCCAATGTCTCGGATTGGGGAAGAAACACCGCACCAGTTACATCTTTTTAGGGCTTTGTCTCTAACGGAGAAACACTCGGAATTACAAGTCGCCGAGAAGTTTTGTAAGTCGATGGCAGAAAAACCACAATGCCTTTTAGACGTCAGGGAAGACACACAAAATTATATCGTGACAACGTCACAAGACTCAAGACTTCATACGCCTTTAACACTTCAGAAACTTAAACTAGCTATAGCTGTTACAAAGGAAAAGTCATCAGCTGGAGCGGATGGTGTAACCTGCATGGTGCTGGCACAACTCGAAAATAACTTCCTAATGAAAGTTTCAGAGGTTCTAAATAGGTCTTGGGAAACAGGCAATGTGCCAGAAGCGTGGAAAGAAGCACAAATTAGACCCCTTTTAAAGCCAGGGAAACCGCCAACTGCTTATACTTCTTTCCGCCCAATTGAGCTTACAAGCTGCATAAGAGAAACGCTTGAAAAAAATAATACAGGGTAGGCTCACTTGGCACCTTAAAACAAACTTTATCTTCTAAAAAAAATGGCCGGTTTTCGCTCGGGCAGATCTACTTGTGAAAGAATTATAGACCTTG